AAATTCCTCTTGAGGAATGTAAACTATCAAAGGTCAAAAGATTTTTCCCCCATCTAATTAAAGTCCATGCTGGTTTGGGGTTTGTGTATTGCCTCTCAGAATGTAAGACTAAATGCTGATACTAAGTTGATGGGCTATTAGCTATTAATTCTCTACATGCAGACGAATACGTATAGAAGTCAGTGGTAAAAATGTATTGTAAAGGGAGTGCAGATTTGCCTTTATCCAGGGTAAAAAACAGTCTCTTTAGATTTGAAAGTCCATTTCATTTAAGAATAATAATAATAAAAAAACCCAAACAACCCCGAATAAAACCCACAGAGGAAAAGCCTGTCCCTCTCTCACTGCATCTACAAACCAGAGCACAACGGCAAAGCTGTGAGTTGCTAATGCAGCTATTCAAGGAAAGCAGTTGCCTGAGGGGAAAGATGGCAGAATTACTGCAGTACCTTCACAGGGGACATTACATTTAATTTCAAGTATTTCTAAACAAAAAAATAATGTTGTCTGTCCTGGACTTCCGTTGCTTGTCTATCTATAAGCTTAGATGCATAGAGATAACACAGATGCCCATCTATGGAGTATTTGTACCCTGGGAGACAAGCCCTGGTGCACTGGAGCTAAACCTGCTTCCATTTCCCACCGAGTCCCTCTCGGTGCTCAGAGGGAAGGTGATGCTTTGTGTGCTGTGAATTCTGGTACCTGAGATAATCCCAGACCCCACCCCAGCAAGGACTGACGGCATAGATGGAATTACTGCTATCAAACCAACCTATGACATGTGAAATGTAAGATTTTTTTTCAAGGCTAGTGGTGCACGGTGCTAAGCATGTTATGTATGTCCTTCAACTTCAGTTTATATAATCACCTTACAAATATCAAGTGTTAAACTGTTTCATTGATTGCTTTTGGTGAATTTGATGATATTTAGTATCTTTCTGAAGGAGGAATAGCTTTGATTTATCCTGTCTCTTTTTTCCACTTAGGGTGGGGGTAAGAGGATTATTGCCTTTCGTTTGGTTTTGGTTTACTGGGGTTTTTTTTAAAGATGAAATAGTATCCGTGTTGTAGAAGAGTCCCAGAAAGACAAGGATGTCACCTTAATACTTTATAAAGTGCTTTAGAAGCATTAGATTATTCCTTAGGTAACCTTACCAACAATTTAGAAACAACTTCAAAAATTAATTGTAAGAAGTATTTAATAAAGTTTGTGAACCACAGCAAATTAATTACTAATAATAATTTAAAAGAAAAAAATGAAACCAAGCCATAGAAGAGGAAGAGTTACAAGTCAGTTGCCATCTAGTCATCTCCTCGTTGTTTGCTGTCTTAACTCTTTCTGGGTTTTTTCTTCCTTTGGTTATCTAACATCAGTAAAACACTGTTTTGTCCCTATAGGCATCATGACTTCGGTAGCAAGCAGATTTCTCTATATGTATTATCACTTAAGAAAACAGATATACAGCATAATGCAATTTACAGGTTCATTGCTGTGCATTCAGTGTTGTATATTTTCATGCAAGCACACTGAGAAGCTTACAGGCAATTGAAACAGAAAGCATCCTAGTAAGAAAGCACTAAGCCTGTGTGGAAAAAATGACAGGAAGATGCAAATAGAAACTGCACAGGAAAAAATAATTTACATCAATGCTTTTATAATAAATGTGCAAACTGCAAATAGAGTGGGCTTGCCTGCATTGACTCAGACATCTATCTTAGATAGGACCTTCAAAATAGCATCCTTTTTGTCCATAATGATTGCTCTTCAGTCAGTCACTCTGACCACCAGCTGGATAAAGATAAGCCAATTAAACACTGTTTGGATCATGTCTAGTACATAAAAATAGCCATATTTCACTGGTCAGGTCAGAAGTATTTGTGGGCCATTCTCCTGTTTCTGGCAATAGCCAGGACCATGTGCCTGTGGAACAGGTACTCCTCAGTCACCCTCTCTGCTCCAAGCAGCCTGTGGCCATTCAATCAGTTAACAAGTTCATTAAATGTGTTTAATGGGCTTTTCCTCCATGAAAGTGTCTAATTGCTTTTTGAACTCATACTTACTTAGCCTCCACAGTTCCACAGTATAATTACACAAAATCCTTTACAAAAAAAACCTGAAAATCTCAAATTACATTGCAGGAACATTTCAAAGAATTCCAGAAAGCCTGCTTTGAGGTTAAAGGAAAATAAGATGTTTCAGTTTGGTGGCCTGCGATTTCTATGGCCACAGGTAAGATTGTTGCCTGTCACTATAGCAAAGGGAGCAGATAAAAATTCTAAATGGTCCTGTCTTCCTACATCCTTAAAGTCCAGGCATCTTATTCCTGTGGATTGCAGAGACTGATGGTGCTAATACATAATATTGAGAGGGACTTAGAGAGAACTTTGCTGTGGGGACAGAGTGGGTGTCAGAGTATATATAGCCCCTTCAAGCTTCTCCATAAAAGAGCTGTTGATTTCTCTGCCTTGGTATTGTTGTCCTCATTTGTGTGTGGTTTTTATGTTTCAAAGGCTTAATTAAATGATTCCCTATATTTTATGCCGTCGTGCATAACACCTTAATAGCCTTTATTTCATAACCTGTGTTACTTCATAACCTGGCCTCAAGTCACTTCGATTACATATGAAGGTCTAAATGCAGGTGCCATCTGGTACAGTGCTGAGAGGCTCCAAGTGACCTGTGAGTTGGGGTTTTTTATCCCCATTAAGTTCAGAGGAAACTAAGCACATAGTATGTATTTGATACATACTATGGAATTAAACTGTGGGTTCCACTCTGATGCATAAATTATCTGCTTCTTTCCAGGCCTCCTACTTGTTTTATGGCAGAATTTTGTCTTTTTTTCCATCCTTTCTTGAAGTGCCTCACATTCTCAAAGTCCCCTCAGTCTCTCTGATGTGTGTTCCTCATAGCTGCTTTCCCTCCCCATTATATCGCATTGCTTCCAGACCTACAATGCAAGTTCTTCACTACTTCTGCATTCTCCCTCATTCTAATTGCTGGACTTTGAGTGCCAGCTATACACATGAAGGAATATAATCCCTAACTAACCTGGATGTGTGGATACAATAAGTCTAAGAAAACTGTACTTTAACCTGAGAAGCATTTTTTCCTCAGAGTGAAAGGGAGGATATTAAATTGCTAAAAAGAACAGCGTGGCCAGCATAGCCTTTCTGATCTGGGTGTACTTCCTCACTATAATCCCCCAGTAAAGCTATCCTAACAGGAACATAGCCTATAAGAACTCCTTTAAAAGCATCTTCTTCTCCTACTGGCACATAACGCTAGCTTCCACGTTTCCATTTTATTCTATACTATTGCACTGCCCCTTCAAGTCTCCTGGGTATTCTATCTTTATATATCTTACATCTTTAATCAGGACCTGTGCTGGTAAGCAGTTGTGCCTGTTCATGTGCTTGTTTTTCAAATGCTATAAAACTTAAGGCTTTTCAGATTCCTCACATAGAAACTTTACAACATCTTGATGGTTATCTTGAAGAGTGACTTAAAATGTGCATTTCCCTGGCATTTTAACCTTGTCTTCCATAAGGACAAACACAAGAGAGTTAGGAGATTCTTCCATGCCATATGAGAGACATACATATGCTTTCAAGGGCTGAGATGGCTCACAATTGTGCCGTTGTTTTCTTCAGACGCACATCTGAAAATGTACCAAAAAACCCAATTATAGGCCCCTATATTTCCAAAAATCCCAATTGTCTGTGATTTCTGAAACCTAGGGTTGAAACCTGTGGGGTTGGGGTTGGGTTTTAACCTTTGAATACTGCCTTTATTTCTGGAAACAGTGGGAGTCTGAGTAACATTTGAGTTTGGAAACATTGCCCCTTTTTTTTTTGTGGAACAAGAAATGTGGGAGATGTACACTGGGAAAATTCTGGGTCTTCATTTCCAGTTAGTAGCTACTGAAAACTTAGATTTGATGAACAAATGTAAGAGACGGAGGACTGCTTCTTTTAAGCTACGTGTCTTTTGCTTGCTGCTCTTGGTTACTACAAATACAGCATTCTTTGCCTGCAAGTGATATTTTACAGTATTTAAAATACCATTTCGCATGTTTCAGATTTAGCCTGGGTTTATTCAGTACTTCACACAGGTAATCCCTGCTGCTTCTGAAGGCCTTGATCCTATAACTGACAACGCGCTAGCAGACCGTTATTGTTGCTCTGGGGAGACTGTTGTAAGAGAGGCAAGGGAAGCCTAGAGATTATAAAAATCACCTTTAAGTGATGGCTACGTATATATCGCTATTGAATTCCTCTAGGCATTCAGGTGTACTTTTTTCCCCTCTTCTCTCCCTCTTCAGCAGCATTGCTCTGACTGGCTGCAGACACTGATTTATGCCATATAGTTATAAATATATGTGCTGAAAGCCTGTTCCACTCAGAGCCCAACTTGTTCCAGTTCGCTCACCTTTTGCAGTGAAGGCTTTTATCTATTTCTGAGAAATATATTGCACTTCTGATCTTACAGGATTAGTGTGTCCCAGGGCTTTATCTGCCTACAGAATTAAACAGAGTCCAAAATACTGGATGACCATGTGAACCTGGATGCTGTTACACAAAGCCTGTCTTAAACCTTCTGCTGCAGGGGCAGCTCGCCCAGGTTCAGTTATTGGGTGCACCCCATGGGTGCACCTCCACTCATCCCTCGTGCCACCTGAAAACCCAAGTTTCATGGCACGGCCAACCATAACGCTCAGTTTCTTTGCAGTATTCAGATTAAACTTGTCTCCTGCAGCTGTTGATGCTGCTCTTCTTACTGAGCCAGCCTGAGTCTTGGCCCAGAGGGAAATTCAACTGATGCAGCTGTTCAGAACTCCAGGAGCAGCCCGGCTGTGCTCTCCTCTGCCAGCTGAAATAGAAATGCTGCTCGGGTAGTGCTCACCTTTCCTTTTGTGAGACACCACCGGAGTGGGGAGACAACACCTTTATTGTAGGCTTAAGATTAACAACCGTATTTTTGCATTCTACCAGTTCAGTCTTCAACCCCACGCCATAGCATAGGCTGTAAGGCTTAAATACTGTAAAATTATAATCTGCTCTGTACCACTACACAGCCCAGACGTTATGACATTGCTCTGCAAGTTTCCTTGTGGATAAATAAGAGACAATTTGAATCAGTGGAAGAAGCAGTCCTGCACCCCCTCTACTGCTGGCCACCTTCTCCCATACCCACTCAATCTGTGCTCTTGTTCAACGCAATGTTCTGTGAGACCAGGCAATGAAAAATTTAAATCATCACTGAAGCTCATTGTATTCATTAGCATTCCGTTTGATTGCAAGCTTCTGCCTTGGATCTGTTCTTACAGTTGTTCCCAAGTGCAACCACAAACGCTCATGCTGGCCTAAGGGAAGGGACAGCATGGGACTGAATGAGCAGTGGCAATGGGGAGACAGGCCTTAGGACAACGTTGGGTTACACAAGACTCAGATGCTCAGATGAAGAACTGCTGCCTAAGGTCAATGGCAACAGTTTTGTGCCCAGTGTATAGCTGCTTTCAGGTTTTCCCAGGTTATCCAAGTCAAATCATGTTGCAGTTTTGGCCTATAAGGTAAGATTTGGACTATACATATATGGTACATACAGAAGTAATAAAAGTGGGAATTCAGCTGCTAGAAGGCAGCTGCACAAAAGGTATCCAAATATTTAAATGGGGCTGAAGGTTTAGTTGAAACCTTGTCAATTATTAAAGCAAAGGTTTGGAAACTACTCTCAGAGTCCCTGCATGTTGCTTATTCAATATTCATCCAGTTTACACAGCTTTAGCACCACAGATGCCAGTGCGAGATGAGAATCAGCATTAATCGGTCCTCATGCCCTGCTGAGGCTTTGCAAACTGACTGTGCACAAAGACTGTAATCAGCTGATAAAACCATGGTGCACTAAAACTGGGCACCAGTAATCTCTCTAGGGTGCTATATTTACTTAGTCTCTATTAGTAGTGATCTGTAAGAGGTTTAAAGTAGCTCTCAAAAGCAGAGTTGGTGTTTAAATGATCGCTGTTGAGAAGCAAGAATCAACATTTGGATGAATAAATACTGAAAAAGGTTACCTGGTATGTTCGATGCTATGGGTGCTGCTGGATCAGCGGATGACATTAATGCTATGGAAATTCACCACTGGTACACTAAATTTATGAGGGAATGCCCATCTGGACAGCTGTGTCTGCATGAATTTAAACATGTCCTGGATCTACATGGACTTACTCCAGAAGCTAACAGCTATGTCGAACAAGTATTTCACACATTTGACATGAATAAGGTAAGAATTCATTCTTAACTTCCTGGCTTTCTCATGGCTGTACTATCTGATGCATTCAGCGGCATGCCTCAGAGGGCTGGCAATGCTGACTGTTTTGAGGTAAGAGAAGTGATTCAGAGGTGATTCAACAGAAAACTGGAGGCAAATAAGCGCAAGTGGCAGACAAACACTTTTGAATGCTTTGCTCCCAGTACACTTTGCCATTTTGAAACTTGCATGCAGTCATTCCAGGACATTTTGATTGGTTCCTTATCTTTCAAGCCTGGATTTTTGTTATTGTTTTCAGTGTGTGTTAATAATTGCAAGTTTTAACTTTGCTTTAAAGCAGCGTTTGGCTGTATCCATAGGTATTAATGCTTTAACAAAATGCAACACAGACACACTACAATTCCTTCTGTTGCCTTTTGTCTCTCAATTCATTCTGAGCACCTTCTGTGGCTTAGTTTGGTATCACTCAATCCCCCTTTTCCAAAGACTTATCTGTCTGGTTTTGATCCATCATCCTGATTGTACTGCTTAACATGCTAGGCCATCCCAAAAGCAGTTGTCAGTGGCATTGCTGTCTTATGTTCTTCAACCTCAGTGTTCATAGAGGTCTCCTCTAGCCATGAGACTTATCCAGAAGACTGTGCCTTGTTATTTTTCCCTTAAGCTAAAATGGGACTTTCTGAGAATCATCTGTAATTCCTATGGAAGTGTTTGTCCTTGACTGATATCAGGTTTAGGCTGAATTGTCAATACTACAAAATCAAAGTCTGCTTCTAGATAATAGAGTAGGTGGTCTCCTCATGGTATAAAAACTTACTAAGAAAAAGACAAAAAAAGAAAGCAGCATTAGTGTTCTCTACCTACAACCCTGATCTCAGTAAATTCAGAGCTGAAATGGAAAAGGTGTTATTACATTACATGAACGACTTTAGTGGCAGGTTAAAACTGGTCGTAATTGTAGCCAGGACTACTCCAGGCAGTTTCAATTTCCAGAAATGGCCTTTCTGTTCTTTGTTATGAAATGAATTATATACGTTCCAGAAATTGTATGGTGCCCAAAAGACTAAGAATTCCCAGAGTCAGTACCTTTGTTACACAGTTCTCTTGTTATGCCTACTTCCACACGCACGCTCCCACCCCCAGTTCATCTTGGCTTTTTGGTATTATTTAATTCTTTATATACTTATATATATCTTTATATGTATCTTTATATCTTTTATATTACATAATTCTTTTTTTACATGAACTTCAAGTCCTGTTCTTCTAAAACCGGGCTCTTTGCATGCTCTTTTCCACCCCCTGCCAATTACCAGGCGGTTAAATATACTGGAATTCGATTAAGTAGTATCACCTAACTCAGTAAACGTGCTAATTACAGATGATGAGCAAATTTCTAGTCCATAAACATGGAAATGGACCAACAGGAATGGTTAACTTAACGTGTCCTTTTCAATTAATAAATTGATGTATTGTGTTCCCCAGTAAAGCTTTACCAATGCCAACTTGCTTGCGTGACGCGCATGGACAGGGTCTGAGCCTATCTAAGAGCTTTTTCAGGGTAGCTTTAATGTGCTATTGGAAAACATTTGGAAATAGATCCAAAATTTATTTTAGACAAATACTGTCAAGTATTGAACCTGCAGCTGATTTCAGTTATTTTCCAGAAAACTGGAATGTGAAAGAATTGCTTTTGGAAAATCAGGCTTCTGTCAAGATGACAGCACACCAGTAACCACAGGCATAAGGAAACTGAGTGTTTGCCATGAGACACATGAGGGTGTGGAAAGAGGAGATAAAGTATCCTTCAGATAGCTTTATGCCAACAGAAATGCCTAGGAGAACTTGCCACTACTGCTGCTATTGGTCTATGTATTTGAAAATATCTATTGTATGCAGTAAATGGTTCATCCAGTACAGGCAAAGAGTGCAGAATAACTTGGGCACAAACAGGGCACAGCTGCTCTTTACCATCTTACCCCATTCAGCTTTCTCTACTATTTGCAGTCTTTGTAATACTACATGAAATCAAAACTCTTAACAGTTTACTTCACGTGTTTAAATTACTTGGAGCACTGAGAATGTGCATATAGATGCTGACATTTGCTTTTTATACAATTCAAGCATTACAATCCAACCTGTTACAGTTGTGAGAGAGCTTTGCTATGTCTAAGTTATTTAAGAGTACCTTTCTGTAAGGAAAAAGAGGTAGTAAATGTAGCTAGTCATTCTGTATGAAGACAAGCTTTAGGTAAACCTGGAACCTGTCTAAGCAGGGAAAGAACTCCAAGCCAAAAAGGTGGGGAGCTTTTGAGGGGGTTTGAGTGTTGTTTAGGGGTTTTGGGGGTTAGCTTTGGGTTTCTTTTTTTGGGTGGCAGAGGAAGAGCAGGGGGAAGCAGGATGAGATTTTGTCGGTTGTTTTTTTACAGGTTACCAATTGCAGGGCCTCCCTCCCACTGCAAATAGCTTAGCACCCAGGGAGTAGCTTGCTCAATTACCTGATGAATATCAAGACGTATGCCTAAAGCTTGCCAGGTTATACATGCATCAGAGTTTGACTGTTACATAGTCCTGTGCACCCATCTCTGACCCCTTTCTCCTGTTTCCCCATAACTTTTTAATCAATTGGCATATGTGAATGAAATTGGAAAGAGTAGGCGTTCCAGCCTACTCCAGCCTACAGTTTTCATACAAAATTGGCAGCTGGGTAGCATGGACGCACCCAGAATGAATGACCTACTCATACAGAATTCAGCTTTCATCCATTAAGGCAACAGCTAGCTGGCAAAAGAATCAGGCACTTGTTTCCTTTCCTCCTGGTGAGGATACAGGGTGGAGCTGGGCTGCCAGGCTGCGGTGATTTAGGGAACGAAAGACAGAGTCTATATAAATGTAGGCTTTTATTTTGCTATTCCCTGAAGAGCTTGTTTAATTAATGTTCCATGTTAGACAGAAATAGATGTTTTATCCGTTTGGAACTCTACCCCCAACACACCTCCCCACACCCCCATTTTAATGACATTAAACAACAATTTGGCCTTCTGGGCTTCATAAAATCCACTATCAAACTGCTTAGGCTAGGCTTATAACCTCCTTATTTAATAATGAGCTCCCACTAAAGATTTGGTATTAATTTCCAATTCTGCAAGATGTTGCAACAGCCCTTCGTTAGCTACTGCAATCTGAGGCATGGATTTTATTGCGTACTTTCTCAATTGAGCTCTTGCAGCAATAGCACAGGAAAAGATATTTAGAAGGCAGAACTGGAATGGCACATTTAGAACAGTTATATACATGAGACTGTATAGTCTGCGTCCTTTTGCAGCTGGAAATAATATGAAGAATGTGGCATCTACTCCCAGATAAAAGCCTGGCAAGTTTTTGTCCTTGTCCAGTCTATTTGTATCATTTAGTGGCTAGAAATGCTTAAACACTTAAGAGAAATAAATCAAGTGAACCAGAATGTTTTACCTGACTATTTTACCTTTTCCTTCTTAATAACATCCCTCCCCCCCAAATCTATTTTTGATGAACTAGCAACAGTATAATTTTTAATGGAATGACAACATGATAACTACAAGATTAAGATGATTCAACATATAGCTTCTAGAAAGGCTTGAGCTCAGTTTTATTTTCCTCTTACCTTGTTGAAAGTCTTGAGAGCCTCACCGAAAAGCCTGTGGCAACCAAGGCCCTTGACCTCTCAAGCCACATGTCAGGATCTCATAAGCTTCCCCAGTGAGAAATCACAGCACGTCTGTTTAGGTTGAGATGATGTGTATGGTTATGTGCTGTAATGTATGTTTCCTGTGAAGTCAGTCTATAGGGCTTCAGGCTGGATTAGGAAACAGATCTATATAAGAAGAAGAATGAGCTGTTGGCATACCAGCTTGTCAAGAGTAACACATTTGGGACTTTTATGTCTTAGCACTGGCTTTCTTGGTACCAGTATCTTCATAATGTTCTTGATCACTCTGACTACCTTGACACCTCTCTAACAGGAGCATGACTTATGTGTAGCACAATCAAAAAGCATTTGTCTTCTGGATCCTGATCTTAACACGGAAATCCAGCTCTGACTCCTTTCCATGCCTAGCAGACCTAGAGGATCTTTTTCAAGATGACTCAGCTCTCTGCAAGTTAGATGAATCAAGTCTTTCTTCCCTCCCTTACACTTCAGTGGAGTAACAACCTACCTAATTTGGTTGGCAGAAACTCTTTCTTAATAGAATAAGCAGGGGTTTTATGGGTTTGTGAAAGAAACTACACAAAGTTCTGAAGGGGCATAACATTCAGAGATGCATTCAGTCATTACGGTTCAGTCTTGCCCATTGCAATATATAATTATATATTATAATATATAATTATATTTCAAAGTTGAAAATCTCAGGTTAGGATTATGGGGTTTTTTTCTGACATTTATATGTTATTTTTCTTCTGTTAAGAGGATCAAACTTTGCCTGCTGCCATGATGGTAAAAATCACTACCAGATCTTTCACATTACTAGAAAAGAATTTGGGATCTAATCTCTTGCTGCATGTATTTGGCATTTAGGAAGTGAGATTCCAAGCAAACACCAGACTTTGGTGTGATGCAAGCTTCTCCCTGCACCTGAAACTGCTGAAGGTGCCTCTCTGTCTCCAGTTCCTATGGCATTGAATGTGCCATGCTTTAAAGTGTTCAATTTCCTATCACTTTATTAGCTGAAAACCCATCACTGAGACTGTGTGAACAGAAAGTGTCTGTTAAGTAGATTATGCAAATGACGCAACATGATTACTTTTAGTGGCTCCCCACGCTCTTACTGTTTCAGCATCATATACATAAGGGGACATGTTCCTAGTTCTTTTTACCTTAAGATGATTTGAAAAGTATTTAGCACATGCTGGATTTAGACAGGATGTTAAGTCAAATTCAAAGCATGTACTTTGAATTGAGAGTCATGAAGAGTCTGCCTTCACTTCCGAAATCTCAGTAGCCCTGATTTATATTCTTTCTTCAGTTTCTGGTGGGT